CTATCTATCTATCTATCTATCTACCTACCTACCTACCTACCTACCTACCTACCTACCTACCTACCTACCTACCTACCTACCTACCTACCTACCTACCTACCTACCTACCTACCTACCTACCACCTCCCCCATTACCTGCATCACGAGTAGGCAATCTTCAACCTTCTGTATGTTTTGGTCAACAGTCCCACTTTGCATAGCCAATTGTAAGAGAGTTTGGGAGTGGTGGCCTAAAATATCAGCAGGGCCAAAGGTTCCCCAACCTGGTACGTTGTTTTAGCTTAGCCTCTTTACTGATGTGCTATGTTTCTATATGCAGAGATTTAAAAAACGTTTAATGCTGTCTACTTGTGGATATTTGTTTTTAATGACAAAGCATGAATCATCTGGGAATTAGAACTAATAAAACCTAAGCACAGATTTATCATTGCAAGGCATAAAGATTTCCAGAACAACCAACAAATGATTTTTTTGACAATTAAGCTCTGCTCTACAACTAGAATGGCTTTCGGAGCGGCTTACATCTCAATGATCAAATCAAGCCTGAACTATCTTTGGAAGCAAAAATGTTGACACTGAGGCTGTCCCACATGATGAGACGGGAGGATTCTCTGGAGAAGACAATAATATTGGGAGAGGCTAAGACAGCAGGAAAAGAGGAAGACCCAGGAAGAGATGGATTGATTTCCTAAAGGAAGCCACAAGCTTGAGTCTACAGGAGTTGAGCCAGACTGTTGAGGACAGGATGTTTTGGAGATCACATCCGTAAGGCTGCCCTATGTCGGAGGAGGCAACTTGACAGCACGTAAGAACAAGTATCTCCATAAAAAATAAGAGAAGAAAGGAAAAGGGAGTAGGAAAACTCAAGACTGATTGACTGATTTGCCACCCTTCAGAACATTTATGCCCAAAGCAGACGGAGCCAGAGTCTCAGGCTGCTAAGATGTTAATTGAGGAAGGACAAGGGTGAATGCCAAAACAAGCTGGACAAGGGGTACATAACTGTGGAGAACTCCCAGGAAAACGCACAGAGCAGATAACGAACTAAAGGGGCTCAATTTTACCCCTTCTAGGCATAAACAGAAAACTACAAACCAGCCTCTGAAGGGGACAAATTCTACCTGGGTCTTCTTCAAAACTAATGGCAAGGGAAAGCCTGGACATTAGTCAGTAATCAAATCCCGAACAGTGACGCCAGCCCTCTTCTCTTTGGGACTTCTCCCTTCCCTGTTCCGAAAGGGTGATTATTAATCCACTGGAGATATGAGGGAAAGGCTTCAGCAAGACTCTCTAAAGGCAGAGCATCGGTCCGTGAAGAGCCTCCTGTGCAAACATGAGTTCAAATTTTGCACTTTCCCTGCCTCCCACGTGGGTTTTTTTCAGTTCTTAACTCAAATCTAAGTACGTAAGTCAAGTCAATATTTTCCTATGAGAGCGGTTCTTAAGTCAAAATGTTCTTAACTCGGGCCGTTCTTAAGTCAAGACCCCACTGTAATGGCAAGGGAAAGCCTGGACATTAGTCAGTAATCAAATCCCGAACAGTGACTCCAGCCCTCTTCTCTTTGGGACTTCTCCCTTCCCTGTTTCGAAAGGGTGATTAATCCACTGGAGATACGAGGGAAGGCTTCAGCAAGACTCTCTAAAGGCAGAGCATCGGTCTGTGAAGAGCCTCCTGTGCAAACATGACACCAAGACCTGGTTGACTCGTTAGACTCATAAAACCTGTACAGAGACAACGGATGGTGTTTTTTTTATTTATTGCAACCATCACCTACTTGCCAAAACCAAATCTCAGTAATAGGCTCTCAGTAGGTCACAGTTTAGCAGAAATCCCTGCTTGGCTTCCTTGAAAGCTTTAAAAAAAGGCCTGCAGGTAAGAACAGGTGCTTGTCTGTCACCCCTCTCTCCAAATTTTAGGGGGGGGCATGTGGTGAGAAAAGAGGGCGGGGGAGAATTCCCAGTTGAAATCTAGGGGAAAAAAAACACATAGCCTTCATTTTGTCACTATGACGTATTATGGCCTGCTTGAGCATAGAGGTTACCACACTATCCCACAGAGGCCATCAGAAAGCTAGGGTGGTGGAGCAGGTAGACTAGACCTGATGGGGGTGGAGGGAGAGGGGCCACTGTAAAACCATTCCTTGAACATCTCACACTCCTTGAAAAGTCTGTGAGAGTTATCATACCTAAGAAAGCGACTTGACAGTACATGGCAGCAACAACTACCATTTTACATTAGGCATCCTTCAGTCTCGAGAGACTATGGTAAAGTGATCTGTATGGAGGACTTGGAACAGCGTCTAGTGTGGCTGGGGAGGCCAATTCGAGAGTGACCGTCCCTTCCACAATGAAGACAAATGCAATCTGTCCCCTGTCCAACTCCATGCTTTTGCTGCTTTCGTGACTTCCTCTTTGCCTCAGCCTGCTGGACAAGGGTCTCTTTAACTTGGGAGAGGCCGTGATGCAACGCCTGCCTCCAGGCTGAATGCTCAGTTGTCAAGGTTTCCCATCTGTTTTTGGTCCATTCCTAAGGCCTTCAGATCCCGCTTGCAGATCTCCTTGTATCGCAGCTGTGGTCTCCCTCTGGGGCGATTTCCCTGCACTAATTCTCCATAGAGGAGATCTTATGGAATCCGACCATCAGCCAACGTAGACATCGCTGTTTCAGTAATGTATATATGCTAAAAATTCCGAACTACCAAGGGCTACCAGAGAATCTATATCCCCTCCATTATCAATGGCAGTGTGCCATTTCTAACAGTTGCTGGGGAACAGGTGTGGAATGACATAGTGTGAACTTGTGTTCTGTTTGCAGGTTTCCCATTGGGTGCTGGGGAACAGGTGTGGAATGACATAGTTTGAACTTGTGTTCTGTCTAATTGGAACCAGAGCACTGGACCAGATAAGCCTATAGTCTGATCCATGAGGGATTCTTAACGCATGATGCTGCATGAGCACAAGTCAGACTCCAGTCTCTAGAAGCCCAATACTGCTGACTCCAATTGTCAGCGATGGCCTCCCAAGGCTTATAGCTGGATGCTTTCCTAGCACTACCTGGAGACGCCCAGCAGTTTGAGGTATTCAGGAGGTTGACCCTGTTGGGCTTCCACAATCCAACGGGGTTGAGTGTTCCAGGCAGGAAGGTAACCGACAAAGACTGAAGGATTTTAAAAAGAGAGAGAACTATACTATATGGTGCCTCTCCCCTATTCATGGTGACCTGCACATTTCGCCTACTCATCAAATACAGACTGGGTGAAAATATCAAACTATGCCAAGAGGCAGCAAAGGCCACGTGGGCTACCATCAGAGAGTAGCATGGTTGGAAATCCAAATTTTGGCCAAGCCCGGCAGCTCTACCAATGACAGTTCCTTGGTTCTGTCCGACCTTCCTTTGCTGTTGCTTCACAGTTGCCTACCTTCTCCATGCATACAATCTGTAGTGAGAACCTGGGGAGACTGTATCAGCCACCCCTTCTATTCAGGCTCCCGGGTTGGAAGACAGCTCCCAGAATCCCACACCCAATACAGTCAAGTGTTGCATCCAATTAAAGTGACTTTTCCAACCCCTATGCGCAGCAATGACAAGAGCAGGGAGGGAGAGCGCTGCAGGAGGGAGTCCACGGAGGGCATCTAGTCTAAGCCCTTAAATCTAATCATCTACCCCACAAATCTAGAGAGGATACTGGGTGGTGCTTGCAAGGGCAGAGGAAAGGAAGGAGAATAGCCAGGCTTTTGGGAATTATCATGCTGCAGTTCCCATCAGCTTTGGCCAGCACAGCCCATGATGAAGGATGGGAAAGCAGTGCAGTGCAGTGGTTAGAGAGATGGATGGGGAGATCC